AAGAATTCTCTACATTATCTTCACATTTCCCCCTGTAAACTGTTTTAAAATGAATTTTTTTTTTTTGGTTTTTTGAGACAGGGTTTCTCTGTGTAATTTTTTGTGCCTTTCCTGGAACTCACTCTGTAGACCAGGCTGGCCTGCAACTCACAGAGATCCGCCTTCCTCTGCCTTCCGAGTGCTAGGATTAAAGGCGTGTGCTAAAATGAAAATTTTGCTTAAGGGGCTAGAGAGATGGCTCAGGGGTTAAGAACATTTGTTGGGCTTCTAGAGGACCCAGCACCCACATGGAGGCTCACAACCATCTGTAACTCTAGTTCCAGGGGTCCTACTCACTTCTGACTTCCACGGGTACCAGGCACACAGATGGACATACATACATTCAGGCAAAACATTCATATGTATAAAATAAATCTTTAAAAAGTTTGTTAAAGAGAGGGGCTGGAGAAATGGCTCAGTGGTTAAGAGCACCGACTGCTCTTCCAGAGGTCCTGAGTTCAATTCCCAGTAACCACATGGTGGCTCACAACCACCTGCAATGAGATCTGGTGCCCTCTTCAGGCCTGCAAGGACACGTGCAGACAGAACACTGTATACATAATTAATAAATAAAATCTTAAAAAAAAAAGTTTGTTAAAGAGAATCTGGATATCTAATAGAAAATGATTGGCTTGAACCAGAGGAATAGTAGTATAAAATTGATTTTTCTGGCCTATAAGAATGGGATTAGGTATTAATATCAGTGGAGAGTATAAATGTAGAGTAAGATATGTTTGACGTGTGTGTGTGTGTGAGTGTGTGTGTGTGTGTGTGTGCACATGCACCCATAAGGCCAGATGCACACAGAAGTAGGATGGCTGAATGCCTGGGTGCAAAACCCTCCCACACTACACTTCTACCATAAACTCTGCCTTTTAATCAAAGCTAGAGTTTCAAGATCACTGCTGGGGAGCAATTCTTTTCAGTCAAGATGATGGTTTCTTGCGTTGTAGTATTATACAGATTGATTCCTATAAACAGAAAGGCACTAACACCAATCTCTAAGACCATGACACAGTAACTCCAGGTTAAGAAAGAAAAGCACAGCCGGGCGGTGGTGGCGCACGCCTTTAATCCCAGCACTCGGGAGGCAGAGCCAGGTGGATCTCTGTGAGTTCGAGGCCAGCCTGGACTACCAAGTGAGTTCCAGGAAAGGCGCAAAGCTACACAGAGAAACCCTGTCTCGAAAAACCAAAAAAAAAAACAAAGAAAAAAAAAAAAAGAAAAAGAAAGAAAAGCACAAGCCGGGCGGTGGTGGCGCACGCCTTTAATCCCAGCACTCGGGAGGCAGAGCCAGGCGGATCTCTGTGAGTTCGAGGCCAGCCTGGGCTACCAAGTGAGTTTCAGGAAAAGGCGCAAAGCTACACAGAGAAACCCTGTCTCGAAAAACCAAAAAAAAAAAAAAAAGAAAGAAAAGCACAGCCAGGCAGAGACAGCACACACCTTTAATCGCACTTGGGAGGCAGAGGCAGGCAGATTTCTCTGAGTTCCAGGACAGCCTTGTTTACAGAGTGAGTTCCAGCACAGCTCTTCTATAATATTAGAGGGACCAGCCTTAATATTATACATCCCAGGGGCTCAGGAGAGAGAACTACTAATGGCGAGGACTATTTTTGGGAAATAGAATCTCAGCACACCGAGCTCTATAGTCCACTTGCTTTAATTCCTCTGGCATAACATCCTATATACACAGCTTCAGTTCTGTTCTTGTGCCTAGCTCCATCTTGCCTGATTTCTCTCTATACTTATCTATTGCTCTCGCTAAGTTCTATCTTAATTCTCTCATCTTAATTCTGCCTCATCTAGGTCCTTTTCAGCTTGTTCTTACCCAGCTAGTACTTCCCCATCTGGCTCTTCCTCATCTTCCATCTCATTCCTCTAGTACTCTCTTCTAGCCCTACAATCTAGCTCTTCCCCATCTCAGTTTATTCCTCTCAAGTTCTTACCCATCTAGTTCTTCCATTTTCTTTTCTCTTCTCCATCCCCTTGTGCCCTGGAAGTCCTGGTATATATACACTTAGAAGCAGTATTCCCTTAGCAGTGCAAAGCCAGACTTCCAGGGTCAAACGGAGGGGTGATCACATAGAGAGGCAATAACCAGGGTTGGGGATTTAGCTCAGTGGTAGAGCGCTTGCCTAGCAAGCGCAAGGCCCTGGGTTTGGTCCTCAGCTCCGGAAAGAAAAAAAAATAAAAAAGAGAGAGAGAGGCAATAACTGTTAATTATCATTTGCAACCCCAAAGGGAAGTGACCAATGGGGAAATGAATTAACTAAAGGCTAAATTCAGGTAATATCTAAGAAGAGGGATCTTATGTGCTCAACTACAGTCTTAAATGTGATTAGTAGAAAATGTTAAGAATCTATAAGTTGCTAGGTCAATGGGAGAAAATAAAACTGCCTTCTTTTTTTCCTGTGGCTCCTGTCTGTCCACGCTAACTGCCGTTTATCTGCAGGGTGGGGGAAGGTGTGCTCAGTCCCTAGTGTACAGCTAGATGCCTCTGGTGATAGTTAGGGAGACTGGAACTAGAGGTAAGATCTGGGAAAGGAGGAAGTTAAGGAAGGAGGGTCCGAGCCAACTTGTGTAAAGCTATTTCTTAAGGTCCACCTGACCTAGGCAGTGTCTCCTTGTGGGATTTAACTTAAGTCAGGAGACTTGCATGTGGACTGTTATCACTGTTAGTCCTTGAAAGTGGCTAAGGGAGATATCTGATTCCAGGGAAAGCCTTTCCTGAGGCTGTTCTCCAAATACCTAGAATGTGTATGTCCACAGAGTGATCAGTCCACACTGTTAGCCCTTCTTAGGGAAAAGTCAATTGGGAAAACTATGAAGGCACACATGATTTTCATAACAGAAGACAGCTGATATATAACAAGCCAATAACACCAAAAGCTCCTTGGAATATGGCTTCCTCTGGAGGAATTCCCTGATCCCTCCAGGTAGTGACTTTGCCATAACCAGCTGAGTTTTTTTTTTTTTTTTTTTTCTCCCAAGACAGGGTTTCTCTGTGTAGCTTTGGCACCTATCCTGGAACTCACTCTGTAGCCCACTGGCCTCGAACTCACAGAGATCCACCTGCCTCTGCCTCTTGAGTGCTGGGATTGAAGGCGTGTGCCGCAGCCGCCACCACCACCACCTGGCACCAGCTGAGTTCTTATGATATATTCCTGCAGCCCGCAACACACAGCCAGTGCTACACAGTGAAACCTTGTCTTGAAAAACAAACAAACAAACAAAAATAGTCAACTAAAGCAATTGTGGCTCAAAGCTGTCATTTTAGTACTTGAAAGGCTGAGGCCAGCCTAGGCTGCAGTCAGTTCCAGGCCAGCCTGGGCTGCAGAACAAGACATGTCCTGCCCATCAAACCTATGAAGTGGAAAATGAAGAAAAGGGGCCCAGTTCCGGGAAGCCCTAGGAGAGTGGTTGTTCAGAAGACCCAGGAGCAGCCAGCTTAGGCTAGAAGGCGGCCTCCCGGAAAAGAGGCACAACTGACAGTGATACACTATCTAGAGTTAGCAATAGGTAAAAGGGCAAGTAAAAGAGGCAGTGATGGCACAGGCCGTTAATGCCAGCACTCCAGAGGCAGAGCCATGCAGATCTCTGTGGGTTCAAGGCCACCCTGGTCTACCTACATAGCAAGTGCTGGGCCAGCCAGGGCTACTACATATCAAGATACTGTCGCAAAAGACAACAGTGCCTCTCCACCCCTACCCCAAACACACAAGAAAGCCAAAAAGGGCAGTGACTAATCTAGGGAAAGGAAAGTGAAAACATAATGTATTATCTGGATCAGCAGTAAATCACATTATCATAGTCATGATATCTAAATTATCATGAGAGACTGAAAATGGGAATTTCCTAAGGTACTAAACCCGTTCTAACATAAGAAGTCAATGATGTCTAATATTACTAAATCAAGAAACTGCTTAAAAATGGCGGTAGTTGCCTTTAGGAAAGAGGACTAGAAATAGAGAAGGGTGAGTTAAGAGTGGTTTTCATTATTATCCTTTTAGGACTTAACGGCCTAATGACTTTCATAAGTATGTAAGTGCTGGGGGGTGAGTGGTGCCAGGACCTTGCATATGGTAAGCATGTGTCCTACCACTGAGCTCCACTCCTAGGCACTGCCGATTTTTAAATGAATGTACTACAGATTTAAAAATACATACCTTAACATATTAAAAAGAATATATTACTTCCCTGTATATTTTAATGGTGACAAAACAATGCTGATGCTTTCAAGTGAATCTAGTCGAATCTGAAGGCAATCACCATCTACATCTTGGATCTAAGTCTGCAGGATTTAGCAATATTTGAAATGAGAACACTGTCCTCCACTGTTAGTGGCAATGACTCACTGAAACCTAGGGAATTCAGTATGTGGCAATGCTCTGAGTTTCTCCCACTAACCCAAGCCCCATAAAATCATTAAAAACATATAAATGTAAGATAGGCTCTATTCAGTTTCTCCCCAGGCCCTCTGCCAGATTCCCATCCTAGCTGCCTTGCCTAATGTGGATGCTGTGCTCTGCAAGTTCAAGTTACACTAGTCAGGAATGCTCCAGCCACCAGGCAGTGGGGCTCTGGGTGCTCACTCTAGCTGGAGAGCTAAGACCACACTGGCTAGAGTGCAAGCCTGCCCCACCTAAGTATGGCAATCCTATTAGGTTGAGTCCAGGGCCCTCGGCCTTGCTACAAGGGCCTGTTCTCAGACCAAAGTGGACTGCTAAGCTGGCTCACTGCCCAGAACTTAGGCACTTATTTGCATAAGGGTGACACTCTATGCCCCTGGAATCCCAGTGACCCTGCAAGCTGATTCCTTCCCAAAGAACACATCTATGCTCTATGTTCAATAGTGTAGTGACTCATTTTGGGGATCAGAAGGCTGAGTTCTCTTATACCTTCACTCTACCCTCCAGATTCCTTAGTGTACTAGATAGAGAAAATTCCTAAGGAGCCACCACTGGAGAGACAACTTTATTTGTAGATAACAAATGGCTGAAGCAGGAAGAGGCCCATGAGAACCATCTGGAGTGGAAGAATCTTGGTGAGAGAGGAAAAGGAGTGAGGAGAAAGAGCAGAGGAGCCCTTACACTCAGCTGTTGGCGTGGAGACTCAGTTCTACTCTCGGCCTCCCCAGACCTCACTTGGCTGCTAGCCTCACTGCTGGCCCCTTTTGTCTCAAGCTTTCAAATGCTACCTCTCCAAACCACTGTCTCTGGCAGCAGCAGCTCCTCTGAAGCTGTTACTTGGGTTTTTTGCAGCCCTTAGAGATTCTGTCTCCTTTGGATCTCCAGGAGCGCCTTCTTCGGCCGCCAGAGGACTCAGGCTTTTCTAGTAGGGAAGGGCGTAGCCACGCAGTCCAGGAAGAGTCTGGATTCTCTTCCAGGTTGGTGGCCCTGAAGTGATGCTCCTGGGAATGGAAGGTATTGCTACATCAGGGGATGTCACCCAAGTCTTCAGATATGTAATCTGTGGGGAAAGAAAGGTAGAGAAGAGAAGGTAAACTCAGCCCTCAGTTTCTCCTGTGGACAGGTCTTTAAACCCTCACCAGCAGCTTTCAAAGCTATAGTGCCCGGTCAAAGCTCCCTTCTGTGACATGCTTTCCCCATTCCCAGGCATGACAAGTCCCCATCCCCATCCCAGTTCTTTGGTTTCTTGAGACAGGGTTTCTCTGTGTAGCCCTGGCTGTCCTGGAACTCACTCTGTAGACCAGGCTGGCCTTGAACTCAGAGATCTACCTAGGCCGCTTTGTCTCCCTAGTACTGGGATTAAAGGCATGCACTGCCACCACCTCCTAGCTCCCATCTCAGTTCTTATACCAGACCATCCTTCAAACCTTACCCATGGTTGAAGCAAGTGAACACTCATTACACTCCCATTTCTTGCTGTTAGGTCTAAGAGAGGAGCAGTCTCGGTGGGTTCCATGGGATCCACATGTAGCACACAGAATGAGGCGCCACCGCCTATGGAAGAGCCATGGAGAGATGTAGGGCCAATCAGGACACCAACTGTCACTTTTGAATGTTACCTACCATCCAACCTCAGTCATGAGGAGAACTTCCTGGGAATTTTTTTTTATGTGTATTGGTGTTTTGCCTGCATGCATGTATATGTGCCATGTGCATACAATATCTGTGGAGGCCAAAGAAGGTGTCAGAGTCCCTGGGACTGGAGTTGTAGACAGCTGGGAGCTGCCATGTGGATGTTAAGAATAGGGCATGGGTCTTTTGGAAGGGCAGTTGGTGATCTTAACCACTAAGCTATCTCTCCAACCCCAAGGGCATTTTATTTTAATTTAATTTTACTATACACATTTACTACACCCTGTGGCTCTGGGATGCTGAGTTGATTCTAAGAGGCGACAGGTGGGCACATCACCCAGCAGGATGAATCTGGAAAGGAACTGACCCTGAATGTCTCTTCAGTGGGCACAAACAGCAGACCCTGCAGAGGAGACCTGCCCATTTGTGCATGAATCAGTCAGGGGCTGGTCAAAAGTGGGACTTGGCAACTGGGCTCATCCAGAGGGTTGTAGACAAGAGCAGACTTCCTGCTTTCTGAGATGGCGCTGCCCAGGAGCTTCTTCCTACCCTTCATCCTCGAAGCTGTCCCTGCCTTGTTCGTACAGACAGATGGGGGCATCACAATGTTGATAGCGCTGATACAGCTCTGAGAAAGCCCCTGGCTCCAGTTCCCAGGCAGCATCTCTGCAGGAAGAAAAGAAGGCAGTTGTTAGGGGATACACAGTCTGCTGGTGAACCTTTGTTTACTAGGAAGAATCCAAGCTACACACAGCAGGAGTTCAAAGGCTGCCTGAGCACTGCCAACAAGACTGGGCAAGCAGTCTGGCTGCGAGAAGAGGACTAATGCACTGGCGTGGAACATGGGGGTTCCTTAGTTCCACCCTGGAGTACAAACTCCCCATCCCCAGACATCTGTTAGGTTTTAAAGCACCTTTTCAGGAAAAGGCCTTCTGCCCACTTCCCTCTCCCTTTTCTTGGATGATTGAAAAGCACTCTCCTCACTTCATGGTACATCAGCGCCTCAGTGGCTGCCAATCTCTGAACTATCCTCACATTCACCTCCTGTCTAGAAATCCAAACAACCCACTCCCTGGCTCAGCTCCTGCCACGCACTACCTGTCTGGAATGTGAATCCCCATTCTCAGCATCTCCTGGGGAAACTCTTCTCGGTTGTTACACTGGGGGCACTTGAAGAAGTGCTTGGCTGATGTGTGGGCATATTTCTGTAAGAGAAGGCGGTATTTGTGAAACCGGTCAGGCCACCTGCCCACTCCCACCCTCACCGCAGGGGAGTTCAGGAAAGGCAGTTTGGGCGTACTCAGATGGGGGCTGCCACCAGGTGTCAGGCCTGTGCCCAGAATGCTTTTGAAGAGCTGCCGGGAGTGCCTCAGTTGTCATCTCTGGCTGTGGGGCTTGGCGGTGCTGACTCAGCAGGGGTCAGGTATTTGGATACATTCCCTTTTCTTTCATCTTGGTAGTGAGGCTGATTTTGAGCTCTGAATCATTCTTGGAAATACCCATTTGTTTTTGGCAATCCTGATGATTTTGCCTAGTCTAAATCTTACTATAAATGAGACTCTAGGCCAAGGATAACCAGAGACTGAGTTGACTATTCCCTCACTGACCCGGAAGCAGTTCCTGTTTACAGGCCTGCAGTGTGTAGTTCTGAAGCTTAGACATGCCTGAGCATTCCCAGGTTGCCTTGGTTCCAAGCACAGAGCCAGAGCAATCATGGAAGGCCCCCCTCCCTCCCCAGAGCAGGGAGAGCCCACCTGGATACACCTGCGGTGGTAGACAGCTTGATTACAACATGGGCCCCGGATATTCTCAACACTTATTCGGGATAAGTCTTCGCAACACAAGACGCAGCTTTCCTCCTCCAGACCCTCCTGCTGGATGTCCTGTGTTGGGCGATGTTTCCCACAAAATGATCTGTGGTGGGTAAACAGACTGGGTTTCTGGCTTGTCACTGATGCAGATTCCCAGCTGCCTGACCTAGCAAGGGCAATCAATTATTGGCTTGGTGCCCAGTGAATAGCTATACCCCTCAGAAAAGCAGGTGAAGAACCATTACATGACTTCTCATGGCTGCTTATACACTAAGCAAAGCTCGAGGACTGTCTCCATAGCTTTCCATTATTGAAAGCCCTATTTAGTTATGAACAGCTGTCTAAGAACCCCAGCTGTTTGTAATTTAAGGAGGGGACAGGAAGCAAGAAGAAACTCCTGTGAAACTTCCAAGTCAAGACACTGTTTCCCATCATTAAGTGGAGGGACAGATTTGTTGGAGAATGCACACAGTCTCATGAGAACTGGGTCCTGATTTCAGGGGTGTCTAAACAGTAGGTTACAGAAAGGCAACCCAACCCTCCTTCCACACTCACTTGTACTCTCCAAAAAACTGTGAAAGGCAACCCCTTTCTTGGCCACAGGGAAGATGGAAGTTTTTGACACACTGCTCGTTCTGGCATTTGATAGCAGCTCCCTTTTGCTTGCACACAAAGCAGATCTGCAAATGAGAGATTCCAGACAATGTTTTGTGACCCGAGAAAGACAAACAGAGGTTGTGGTTCTTCTATGACTGGAAATTCTGGGAAGCAACAGCTATTCCCTTTCCCTCAGTGGTCCAGGGCACCCTAGAACTGAACTTCAAGAAGTGCTGCATTTTATTTTCTCAGGGTGCTGCATCCCCTCTTTGCTGAGGAAACATTCCAGAAGAGATGGGACCTAAGACAAGGTCTTGGGCTAGGGGTGTAGCTCAGTGGTAGAGGGCTTGCTTATCATACCCTGGCCCTGGGTTTGTCTCCCAGAGACAGACAGACAGACAGACGAATTCTGAAACATGTATGAGAAGAGGCCTACCCCAAGGTCCCCATTTCAGGAAATTCTAACCTTCTTAGAAGCCCGGGCTGCCTCCTTTTTGATGTCTTCAGGCATAAATCCATGGAGACCTTTCTTGGGTTGGCCCTTCTGAGGCAACTTGCTAGATAGGATCTAGGGGAGCAGCAGAACCAGGCTGTTTGTCAGTGACACAGTACAGTGGGGTAACGATGACTAAGAAATGGAGCTTGGTGGAACATATTTGCATATACAGACAATCTATTTAATGAAGTCTGATATAATGGTATGTATTGGATACTCCAGCACTTTCTAATTATTAGCTCTTTGGACAACCCAATGAGGAGAAACATAACTTGTTAGAGGCCACTGAGCTGCAGAACCAGTGCCTTTGTGCAGTGCTAGTCTGCCCCGCATTTGCTCCTGCATTATGTGAACACTGGGGACATGCTCTCCTGATGGACTCACTTCATGCTTATAAAAACAGAAGCTAGCCGGGCGGTGGTGGCGCACGCCTTTAATCCCAGCACTCGGGAGGCAGAGCCAGGCGGATCTCTGTGAGTTCGAGGCCAGCCTGGGCTACCGAGTGAGTTCCAGGAAAAGGCGCAAAGCTACACAGAGAAACCCTGTCTCGAAAAAAAAAAAAAAAAAAAACCAAAAAAAAAAAAAAAAAAAAAAAAAAACAGAAGCTATTGTGGCTTTCGTTTCACAGAGGCCACTGAAGTATAAATGTGGCAAGTGACATGGCTGGAACCACATGGCAAGGAACTACAAAGCCGGCCCTATAGAACCTGAGCTCTTACCCCTTTTGCTGTATTTCCCTTTAGTACAGGGTTTTTTAGAATTTTTCTCAGAGTATTATAGGAAGGTAAATGGGATTTTAAAGTCTCCTTTAATGGCCATTCTGCATTAATAAGAAACGGTTAGGAGTTGCACTTTTACTCTTTTTTTTTCGAGACAGGGTTTCTCTGTGTAGCTTTGCGCCTTTCCTGGAACTCACTCTGTAGCCCAGGCTGGCCTCGAACTCACGGAGATCCGCCTGGCTCTGCCTCCCGAGTGCTGGGATTAAAGGTGTGTGCCACCACCGCCTGGCCGAGTTGCACTTTTAAAAACATATTTTAAAGAGATGTTTCTTTAAAAGTGTTCAAAGATGATTCAATGGGTAATTAAGAAAAAAAAAGCTATATGGTTCTATTAAATTCATTGGGACATGCTGCTCATCTTAAGACTATTTCAAAAGTATTAGGATATTGGGCTTCTTGCAGTGGTTATAAAATGTGTAATGGGAGCTTAGGTTATATATATATATATTTTTTTGTTTTGTTTTGTTTTGTTTTTCGAGACAGGGTTTCTCTGTGTAGCTTTGCACCTTTCCTGGAACTCGCTTTGGAGACCAGGCTGGCCTCGAACTCACAGAGATCCGCCTGGCTCTGCCTCCCGAGTGCTGGGATTAAAGGCGTGCGCCACCACCGCCCGGCGATTTTTTAAAAGATTTTTTAGTGTGTATGAGTGTTTGTCTTCATGTATGTGTGTGTGCAGTCCATAAGGAGATCGGAAGAGGAGGTCAGAGTCACTAGAACTGGAGTTCCAGATGTTTGTGAAATGCCTTGAGGACTCTAGGAACCAAACGCTGGCCCTTTGGAAGAGCAGTGAATACTCTTACACCGAGCCATTTCTCTAGCCCCAATATTTATTTTTGAGACAGTCTGTGTAGTCCAGGCTGGTCTTGAACTTGTGATACTCCTGCCTCAGTCTTCCAAGTCCATCATTTAATCCTGCTTTAACATTATAGAGAGATGATCCTATGTTAGATGACTTGGATTATAGCTATAGGTTCCTAATGATGCTTAAAACATTTCACACATTTTATCACTATCTCAAGGCTTTATCATGAGTGATTTTTGTTTTAGTTATATTTCAAAATACTAGTCATGTTTTTTTACAATGAGCATGTGCTATTTCTTCCTTTCTTTTCTTTCAAGACAGGGTTTCTCTGTGTAACAGTCCTGGCTGTGCTGGAACTCGCTTTGTAGACCAGGCTGGCCTTGAACTCACTTAGATCCACCTGCCTCTGCCTCCCAAGTGCTGGGATTAAAGGTGTGCACCACCACCACCCCACCAAGCCTGTGCTATTTCTACAAACAACAACAAAAAAATCAATAAAGAACAGAAACAATTCAAATGTTATTAAAATTTTTTTTTGAGACAAGGTTTCTCAGTGTAGCCCTGGCTGTCCTGGAATTTGCTTTGTAGATCAGGCTGGTCTCAAACTCATGAAGATCCACCTGCCTCTGCCTCCCAAGTGCTGGGACTAAAGATATGTGCCACCATGCCAACGTTTTTTTTTTAATGATTTATTTTTATTTCATGTGCATTGGTGTTTTGCCTGCATGTGTCTGTCGGGTCCTCTGGAACTGGAGTTACAGTTATGAGCTGCCACGTGGGTGCTGGGAATTGAATCCAGGTCCTCTGTAAGAGTACCTAGTGCTCTTAAATGATGAGCCATCTCTCCATCTCATCCTTTTAAAATTTTTGATATCTACTTATTTTTTTGAGACAGTCTTATATAACCCAGGCTGACTCTGAACTCAAAATCATCTGCCTCTGCCTCCCAAGTGCTGAGATTATAAGTGTGCACCATCATGCCCAGTCTAAATACTCTTTAACAGGAGTTTAATATTTTGGGAACATCCATACTATGAGACACCAGTCAGCTACTTAAAAACTAGGTTTTTATGTTGTATATGAAGAGATCTCCAAAATACATGAGATGGAAAGAAAACTCTACAAAACATTGTATATGTTTATGTTAAAATGTATATGCTTATTAATGCACCAGAATTAACCAAGCCCTAACACCTAGCAGGACTTACAAGAAAGGAAAATCACAAATCAATTTTTCTCATGATAGATATAAAAAAGGGAAAAGATTAGTAAGTTGAGCCCAGCCCCATATTCAAAGAATAATTATAGCATGACCAAGAAGTGCCTGTACCAGGAATGCAAGATTAGTTTGACTTTAGATAATCCAGTTGGTATAACAAACCATAAAAAGAGAAAAATCAAGATCACATCAGTAGACGCCAAAAACATTTCCAAAACTCAATACACATTTGTGATATCCTCAGCAAACTAGGAATAAGAGAATTTCAATCTGACAAAACATCTGTGAAAGTTTAAAGCTAATGTATTTATAATGATGAAAAACTAGATGCTGTCCCAATGCTGTGAGAAAGACATCGATAATTATTTACACTACTTCTATTGAACATTGGATTGAAGGCCCTAGCCAGTTAAAAAGGCAAGAAGAAATAAAAGGCAAAAACTGGGGGCTGGAGATGAGCTCAGCTGGTAGAGTACCTGCCTAGCAGGTATGGGGTCCTGAGTTCAATCTTTGGCCAACATTAGAAACTGTACAGGGGGTTGGGCGAGGGTGGCCCATGCCTTTAATTCCAGCACTCGGGAGGCAGAGGCAGGTGGATCTCTGTGAGTTCTACAGAGCGAGTTCCAGGACAGGTTCCAAAGCTACACAGAGAAACACTGTCTCAAAAAATCAAAAACAAAACAAAAATACTGGGCAGGAATCCACATAATCCACATGGTGGCTCACAGCCTTTTTTTTATTTTTTTGTTTTTTCGAGACAGAGTTTCTCTATGTAGCTTTGCGCCTTTCATGGAACTTACTCGGTAGCCCAGGCTGGACTCGAACTCACAGAGATCCACCTGGCTCTGCCTCCCAAGTGCTGGGATTAAATGCGTGTGCCACTACTGCCTGTCGGCTCACAACCTTTTATAACTCCAGTTCTAGGGGCTCGAACCCACTCTTCTGACTTCCTCAGGCACCAGGCATGCTCATGTAGGCAAAACACTCATACATATAAAGTGATTTTTCAAATAAACAAACTGAGCTTGTGGCAAATGCCTGTAATCTCAACACTTGGGAGTTCAGAGTCTGGCCTGGAGAGATGGCTTAGTCAGTAAAGCCTTGCTGCACCAGCATGAGGACCTGATGCTGGGGATGGTGATGTGTGCTTGGACTGCTGGCACTAAGGAGGCAGAGACAGCAGGGTCCCTGGAGCTGGATGGTCAGGTATTCTTGCCAGACTGGTGAGCTCCAGGATCCTGTCTGAACAAAGATGGAAACAGAGGACAGCTGATGTCAACCTCATCTCCACATGCACACATGTACGCACACAACTGAACACACAAGCACGCCTACATGAATCTGTACATACGTACACTCCCTCCCCCAACACACAAGAAGAAAGGAAGTTCAAGGTCATACTCAAACTACAGGATGAGTTTAAGGCCAGCCTGGGCTACATGAGACCCTATCTTTAAAGAAAGGACAACATTTGGAAAAGAAGCAGAACTGTCTTCAGTTACACATGATACTGACTATATATACAACCAGAGAATCCCAAATAAATAAATAAATTTTGTTGAATTGGTATGTGAATTTAACAAAATTATAGAGTACAAAATCAATATACAAAATAATTGCATTTCTGTAATTCAGCAACAAAATCTTTAGAAAAACATTTAACAAAGATTCACAATACCACCCTTTCATTCTGCAGAACAGTATGGAAAAAAATTAAAAGGTGTTATGGAAATTAGTTTAAGATGTGTTACATTCATTTATGCTGTAGAACATTTGTTTAATGATGCAAAGATGTGTTGCATTCTTTTATGTTGCATTTGTTCAACTCTGTGAAGCTGTGTTACTGTGCCTGTCTAAGACACCTGATTGGTCTAATAAAGAGCTGACCGGCCAATAGCAAGGCAGGAGAGAGAAACAGGCAGGGCTGCCAGGCAGAGAGAATAAATAGGAGGAGAAATCTAGGCTCAGGAGTGAAGAGCAAGAAGCCAAAAAAGAAGGAGAGGAGGATGCTAGGGGCCAGTCACCCAGCTACACAGCTACCCATGGAGTAAGAGTAAAGGAAGATATATAGAATAAGACAGGTTAAAAAAACCCAAAGGCAAAATGTAGTTAAAGAGAAACAGGATAATTTAAGTTAGAAAAGCTGGCTAGAAACAAGTCAAGTTAAGGCCAGGCATTCATAAGTAAGAATAAGTTTCTGTTCATTTAATTTGGGAGCTGGGTGGTGGGCCCCCAAAGAGTAAAAAAAAAAAAAAAAAAAAAAAAAAAAACCAAAAAAAACCAAACCCAAACTACAGAAAGGAATTGAGCCACTGGTGGTGAGGCATGCCTTTAATTACAGTACTCAGGAAACAGAGGCAGGTGGATCTCTGAGTTTCAGGGTAGCCTGGTCTATAGAGAGTTCCAGGGCAGTCAGGGTTACACAGAGAAACACTGTCTTGAAAAAACAAAAACAACAAAAGATAAAGGAATTGATACCCAAAAGACTGTATAATTGACCATATTTAGTTTTAAGACACTATAAAACCCCAAGAATCAAGACAGTGGAGTGCTAGTATATAAATAGACACCTCGAGACTAATGGTGTAATACATGCATGGCCAGTTGATTTTGATAAAGGCATGTAGGTACTTCAGTGGTATTTAAGTACCATTTAGGACACACAAAAATGCTAGCCATAAAAGAAAAACTGATACATGAAAATTTAAAAAAAATTTTCAAAAGATATTATTAGAAATATTATATACATACATGAAAAGAATTTATATCCAGAATATAGAAATAATTCTTACAATCCAGTAAGACAATAGAATTCAGTTTCTTTTCTTCTTCTTCCTCTTCCTTCTTTTTTTGAGACAGGGTTTTTCTGTGTAGATTCAGCTGTCTTGGAACTCACTCTGTAGCCCAGGCTGGCCTCAAACTCACAGAGATCCATCTGCCTCTGCCACCCAAGTGCTGGGATTAAATGTGTGTGCCACCACCGTGCCTGGCTTATAATCCAGTTTCTTTTAATTGGACAAAAATATTCAAACAGATTCAAAAGAAAATATGTGAATAAGCACACGAAAAGCTCAACGTCTTTATTCCTCAAAGAAGCACAAATTAAGAGCACAGTAAAATGCCAGGAGCATCTAGTAGGAAGGCTGAGACAAAAAAGACTGACAATAACAACTTTTGGTAACAAAACGGTCAGTTGCAACTCTCATAAGTTGCCAATGAGTGTGTAAACTGGTACAACAACTTTGGAAAGATGACTTGGCAACTTCACACATGTATACTTACATGTAATCAGTAATCCCACTCCTAGGCATCTGCCCAAGAGAAAGAACACATGTCACAAAAAACTTGTACATGAATGTTCTTAGCAGCTTTATTCACAAAAGTCCACCAAAAACAAAACAAATCAAATTTCCACCAACTGTTGAAAAGATAACTTTACCATGTTCAAGCATTGCTGGGGAAAAATCATTTCAGCACCCGATATAAGCCAGGCTTAATGAAACTTCTGAGTTTGAGGAGGGAAAAGCTTAGAAGAGTCAGGAGAGAGGAGCTGATAAATCTAGTAAGACTCCATGGTTAGTTCAGGATCTGGCAGGCAAACTAAAGACAGGGAGAAAGGCCAACCACGTAGAAAGGGAGACATCCTTAGGAGAGTGGCAGGAAAGAATTTATAGGGGCAATAGGAGGAGGAGAGGCAAGAGACTCAGGAAAAGACGTAGGACTTGGCAATCTCGCCAGAGAGAGGATTCCAGTAGCATGGGAATAGAGACACAGGGAGGGAAGGGGTAAGTGCCACAGGACCGACAGAATCTCAAACTGAAAGCATCCCCAGGGGATCGAGACTTGTCAGAGAGATGCCCAGGATCAGTGGACAGGCGTCCCTTGTCCACATTGATGGGGAGCACTGGAGGGTGTAGGGAGGCTTGCCTGGCACACTAGTATGACTTTTGTATTGAGCTCCAGTGAGCCAGAGACAGAGCAGGCAGCTTGGAGAGGACACTTACCTGAAAGATAAGTGAATAGAGTAGTGGAGGAGAGAAAAATGCTGGAGAGGTTTGTAGTCAAATTTGGTAGGTGGCAGGAGTCAGAAGAAGCAAATGATGTGCACCCAGGAGGGCCAAATCAACAGTGTGGTTACAAGAGGCAGAGCCCCTTTAGGATGGGGCCCAATGTTTCTTCCCTTGTTCCTGCACTAGATGTAAGCAGGGGTGCAGTGAAACAACCGAGCAAGACCACTTGATGGGTGCAAAGGAATGTTTACTGGAAATATGAACCTGCCGCATGGCTATCTCTTGTGTGATAGACAGAGACTAGTCAGTAATAGGAGTTGTGTTTTGGAGAGAAGAAGGTGAGTTAGTTGAAGAGCCTGCGAACTAGCATGGGGCTTTGATCTGCTGGAGGCTTGCTCCAGTTAATAGGGAACTAGATGCCCTTTCCGCTGGTAGGTGGCTGTGGGGGCGAGCAGATAAGGGAAGAAATGGCTTTTCTTGACAAACAGAAACTCACTTTACAAGGTTTCTGAAGAATGCTGATTTTAAGTAACAATCCTTCTGTTTATTTGGTCACAGTCTAGCCTGAACTGGGCCCAGACTGTCACTTTTGGGGTTGGGACCTAACAGAAAGAACATAAACTGTACAGTTTAATTTATATCAAGTAAAATAATAGGCAAAAATAATCCTTCTAGTGATTAACTCTGGTGGTACTTACTAGAAGAGGGCATGAGGTGAATTTTCTGAGGTGACTAAAAAGTTATTTTGGTGTGGATGGTAATTACATGGGGATATACAATTTATCAAAAATAAAGGGCTGGAGATATGGCTCAGCAGTTAAGAGCACTGGCTGCTCTTGGGCAAGACCAGGGTTTGGGTCCTAGTTATCCACATGGTAGCTCACAACTGCCTGTAATTCCACTCCTAGGGGTCTAATGCCCTCTTCTGGCCTCTGAAGGCACTGCACATACATGGTACACAGACATATATACAGGTAAAATACATAAAATAAAAATAAATAAATCTTTAAAAAACTCATCCGACTGTACTTAAGATTGGTTCATTTTATAGTATTCTGGTTATATTCATTAAAAAAAGTATACTGGGGAAAATTAACTGGAAGAAAATTTAAATGAACATTTGTTTCTCGGAGGCAGGGAGGAAGAAGGAATATGATTTAAGGAAGAGGGCTATTATGTTTTATACTGTCAGGATTATGTCATTTGTTATTTAAAATATAGATTTTTTTGTTTTTGTTTTTGTTTTTCGAGACAGGGTTTCTCTGTGTAGCTTTGAGCCAGGCTGGCCTCGAACTCACAGAGATCCGCTTGCCTCTGCCTCTCGAGTGCTGGGATTAAAGGCGTGCGCCACCACCACCCGGCTAAAATATAGATTTTAAAAGATTAAAAACTGTAAGGAAAAACAAGCAGCTGTAAATTTGAGGCTAGATGCAGAAGTGCCTGTTTAGCAAAAGCTGTAAGACACGTAGAGCAGCGAGGGCCTTATACTCACAAGACAGAAATAGTGCACATAAAGACTGTTTTTCTGAAGGAAGTCTCCTAGTTTTTCAGGATCGCCAGGTTCTTGAAGGCACAGCAGGCAAACTGGAAGAGTGAACATTAAGAACAAAGGCTTGGCTCAAGCTGACCACTGAGAATAGAAAAGTGGAGCTCACCGTCTAGGAACAGCAGAGTCGAGGCTCCTTTACTTACAAAGGGCTTTTAGCCGGATAAACTCTCCACACATGAAACTTCCTACGTTGGAGGTGCATTTACTACATGGAGCCTAGGGAACACCATAGCTTAGCAGCACAGTATACCGCAAATAGTTGGTTGTTTCCTATTATGCTTGTGTGGCTTACTGGGAGCTGTGCCTTGCTGCCAGTGCCCAGCACTGCAAGAGCATATTGTACTAGCTATCATTAGCTTGGGAAAAGATCAAAACCCTAAATATGAAGTGTGGTTTCTGTTGATGCACGGCACTTTTGCATCACCTTAATGTAAAAACGAAACAAGCTAAAACATTGTAGTCAGGAAGCATCCTTATCAGGAATAGGGTAATTCTGGCAAGAATAAAAGTTAACTATTGTTGGGTATCAGGCCTTGATATAATTTTGGTCACATTGACAGCGTAGGCTGCGACTAACACTTTTTACTGTTTTGTTCTCATCTGGCTTTAATTAAATTCTTTCTTGAACGTCAGCTATGAAACTTTGAAACTACAGACACTGAAGTCTTTGGGATCTTAATCTAAGAGAACTGGGAAAGAAGTGGGGTTGACAGTGAAAGCTGCAGGTTGGCTGCCCCGCTGGCATGGCCTTCTCCGCTAATGGCTGGCAGTAGCAACTCAATACCACCTCATCTCTCTTACCAGGACCTGAAGATAGCTTCCTCTGGGTTACCTTCTTAGTCCTGGCAGTTTTTCTATAGAAGAGAAAAAAATGTAAGGACACTACCGACAAGCCTTCTGAATTTCCCTTAAAATGCCACCAGTAATCTGATTAAAGACCAAATTCTCTAAAGGCTTTTCACATTTCATTTTTAAAGTATAAAACACACTGAATTATTTGAGGCTAGGACCATCTCAGTGCATGTGCTGCCTGTGCTGAATGAATTCAAGAGTAACCCTTCTTTTACTTTCTTCTGCCAATTACCCAGAGTGCACTGAAATGACACTGACGTTGGCTGGTTCCCAGCGCTAGGCACTACACTTGCTCCTTTATCATGAATTAGGTCAACAACTCTGCAGAACATTCTACAAAGGCAATACTATCATAATGCATATTTTTGAGTAAATTGAGGCATAAATGATTTGCCTCCAGCCTTGCAGTCATCAAGCAGTACAGGTGTGATAGAGATTTATCTAATAAAGTCCCACACTTGTCACTGTGCCACTGGGGACATGTCGCACAGGTGTTGGCTTTCATACTGTCTAGCCCTACCTAGCCAAAGGGAGCAGAAAATGCAACATGTGTCAATGGCCACTGTATCTTCCCAACTCTTTCAGGTCACCTACTCTACCTCAATCTTGGGCGTTCCTTCTTTTCTCTTATTGTCTTCATTTGCTTCCTTCTTTCCTTCCTATCTAGAATTCTTTCGTACTATTATGAAGACAACACAGGCTTTTCCAGCTATAAATATAAACAAGGTAGATTAGCAATTTAATTTTACATTTGGTTATCAAGTTCTACAAGATCAAAGCAGCAGTGCACTTTTCAACTCATTCACTAAAAGGGGTATATCTAATAGTCATGCCAGTACTGGCCAATAATAACCCAATTGTGCCAAGAACTGTTCTAGGCACTTACCACACACTGAGACACACTTATCACCCTTATTTTCAAGTTGAGGAGACTGAGGCACAGGTCAGAATCAGTGATCCAAGGTGAGACTTGAAGTTTCAGAGGCTAACATCAACTCTCATGTTAGAAAGTCATCACACAGCAGTGTAAGATGTTGGAACCATTGAGTGACCTAGTTAAACGGTTCTTTGCTAAGTGCTGGGGACAACACTCAAGAAAAATGGACCTTCTGTACCCAAGTGTGGGTGCCTTTTCTATCCAGTTAGATAAGGTAGCTCTTTCCTATCGAAAAGAATCTGAGAGAGTTGGCAGCTTAAAAGCCACAACTCCATCTAGTTGAGGGAGAAATAACAATGAAGATCACCCCCTTAGCTCTTCTTTTTACCAGCCTCAGAGGGCCATTGAGGCTTGGCCTGTCCCATCCTTGTCTAGATGTAAACTAAGTAAAATGCCACTCCTGCTACCCATGTAAGCAGATTACAAAGTTACCCAGGTTTCACTGGTCATTACAAAGTCTCCAGAAGTGTACTGGGATGAGGGAAGTGGGGGGAGTCACCCTACAAAGGGCTATGTCTAGTAAGGGGAAGAAGGGCAACATTTCTTAAAGAGAGTCCAGTGACATACTGAGGTCACTCCAGAGACATACACTTCAGTACCCAGAGCCTCAGATCAAGGCTGGGGATTATGATTATCTTCACGAACGTCTAACTATTCTACATAAATACTAGCTGCTACAAGCCATGGAAACTTCAGGCTAGGTTTTCCCAGCACAGGAGGTGCAGTTAACAGAGCTGACATCTGTTTTCTTACTAAACATGGATAGACGGGAGATGTTGTGGCTCTAACCTTGCTATTTCCCTATGGGATCTACTTTAACCACTTCCTAGTTGTTGGCGCTAAACCCAACCGTGTTAGAATAGAAATAAACCTTGAGACTTCAGTCCTTTGCATCGCTGGACCACGACGTTACTTGAGTAGGAGTCTGTGCACACTGGCAGTTACAAGATGGGACAGTCTTCAAAACAGTCGAGGACGGGACGTGGCAAAAGCAAGTTGCTCAGTCCTTGACTTCCTAACTAGGCGGATGCTTGCTGAAAACGTTTTCAAGTTGTTTCACTGTTATAAAAGTGTTGAGTAAATGCTTGCTGAGAAAATTAAAAATATAGTGACGTGTTCGGCTCCGCCGCTGCCAGAATAAACGATTTATTTGGAAAATACGTGTCGGTGTGGCCACAACCGTCCCCGGAAGGTAACAGCCAGAAGAGGGGCTCAAGCAGCATTCCGCGCATGCCAGACCAGGCTCGGGTCATGCCCGCCGGGCAGCCGGTGCGGGGCCAGGCTGGAGGTTGCTTCCACCTCTCGCTCCTCACGGAAGTCACCGCTCCCAGCCCGGGCTGCCCACCCAGCTGTCGCCGAGGGCGCCGCTGTCCGGGGAGCTTTATTCGTTGACCCAAGCCGTGGTAGCAGCTACTTCACGGACGGCCGCCCCGCGCGGTGACTGCGCCGTCGAAGGAGGCGAGCGCGCTAACGGGGGCTGGGTCATGCGGACTCGACGGGCCCCGGAGACCGCAGCGTTGCGGACAGTCGTTAAAACGAGGACCGCTAACGGCCGCGCGCTAACGCCCGCGCGCCCGACCCAGCCTCCCCGCGTGCGCATGCTCGCCTCAGCGCGCGCACGCACGCTTGCGCGAGCCCGCCTCTCTGCGGGTCTGCGGGCGGAAGGCAGGCCCCGGGCCGGAGTCGTCGCGGGATGATGACGTCGTACCCCCCCACCCCCGGCGCGGGCCAGTGACGCGACGCGGCCCGTTGTCTGTGTGGGGCTGAGGAGCCCCGAGGGCGGTGGGCGCTCCCATCGGGAGCGGCGCGGGGTTGGCAGGGCCTGGACATGGCGCTGAGGGGCCGCCCCGTGGGAAGATGAATAAGGGCTGGCTGGAGCTGGAGAGTGACCCGGGTACGGAGGGGCCCCGGCGGGCCGGGGGCTGGGGAGGCCGGATGGGTCCCGGAGGCGCCTGCCTGACAATCCCTCCTCCTCTTGTCGTCCCACCCAGGCCTCTTCACCCTCCTGGTGGAAGATTTCGGTAAGAGCCGCCCCTGACCTGTTGGGGTGTGTGTGTGTGTGAAGGGGTGCTCCCTGAGTTCTCGCTGCAGAGCCTGCGGGGGCTGCCCTGCCGACTTCTTCTTTCCTGATCATAGGTGTCAAAGGGGTGCAGGTGGAGGAGATCTACGATCTTCAGAGTAAATGCCAGGGGTGAGTGGCTGGGCCCTTGCCTCCGGGGGGCTGGGGAAGGGCAGGGGATAGTACCCCTTCAAGGGAGGCAGTGTTAGAAGACCCAAGTTGTATAAAATGTCACCTAAGAAAGCTTCACTCTTTGTGGATTCCCTCCTTGGACTATTTTTTTGTTTTGTTTTGTTTTTGTTTTTGTTTTTTTGTTTTTTCGAGACAGGGTTTCTCTGTGTAGCTTTGCACCTTTCCTGGAACTCGCTCTGTAGACCAGGCTGGCCTCGAACTCACAGAGATCCGCCTGGCTCTGCCTCCTGAGTGCTGGGATTAAAGGCGTGCGCCACCACCGCCGGATGAACTATTATTTTTTTTATTCCCAGTCTTCGCCTCGGCGTTTCCCCTTAGGAAGTAGTAGTCCACCTTTTAACCCTAACCACTCTTGGAGTACAGTTCAGCTGCCTTTTCTGGTTTTGCAGTGAGAAGCCTCTGGCTGCACAGTGCCTTTTTTGTAAGTGTACAATCCGTTAATTACATAACCACGTGAGCTGTACCTTTCATCACCACACAAAATTTGTCCTGACCAGGAGGGGTGGTATGTCCCTTTAATCCCAGGGCTTGGAAGACAGAGGCAGGCATATCTGAGTTTGAGGCCAGCCTGAGCTACATAGTGAGGCCCTGTTTCAACAAAACTAAACAAGACTTGTCCTTTATTGATTGGTTGGTGTGACAAGGCCCCTTTCAGGTACCTAAACTCAGGTTCTTGTTTTGGTGATCTGTGAAATAGAGGAACCTGCTAACAGTAATGATCCAAGAAGTCTGCTTTCATTTCCTGGAAATGAAGGGACTGGTTCAGGAGTTCATTTGTGTCCCTAGTTTTAGGGCTTGAGGCTGAGGTCCACAAGTGAGAATTGATACTTACTCATCAGAACTTTGGGCCTTATATTGTGTTTTCACCTTGCTCCATCCTGGGCCACCAGTTCCAGATTTCCTTCTTCTCTTGCCTAGACTTCATGAGGCTGAGTGGGGTTTCAGAGTATCAAGCTCACACTTGATTGCCTGCGATAGGCTCCTGGGTGTGAGGTCTCAGAGCCATGTTGGATACAGTATTGGTAAGAGTGACGGGCTCAGAGCAATAGCACTCCAGTGCAGAAGATTAGGGAGTGCAGAAGATTAGGGAGAGAAAGACGGGGGTGCTGATTGTCATATGCCTCTTCTTTCTCTAGGCCTGTTTATGGATTTATCTTCCTGTTCAAATGGATCGAAGAACGCCGGTCCCGCCGAAAGGTTTCTACATTGGTGGATGATACGTCTGTGATTGATGATGATATTGTGAATAACATGTTCTTTGCCCACCAGGTCTGCTGAGTTCTGAGCTTGTTGGAAGGGCAGGATGTTACGTTTTGTTTTTGGTTGTTAGTGGTTTTGCCTGGAAAGTGACAGTGGGGGAAGCAGGGAGAAGAGCTGGACTGGTCCCAAGAGAGGTTGTTGCAGGAACCCACGGCAGACAGAACCTAGCTCTCTCATTAAAGGGAATACCTTTAGAGTAGGGTCGTATCTCAGGATATTCTCCATGTCCCTAGATTCTTGGTACTTAGTTGATGTGTGTTACATGAGTAAAGACTGAGCCAGACAAAAGGAACTGGTGAGGGCTGTTGACCTGTTTTTCAGTCTTCTCAGTGAATATGGGCTTGGGGAAGCGTGGGGTAAAGGATATGTGAAGGGTATATGAGTGACTGTTTTTGATTGACAGCTGATTCCCAACTCTTGTGCCACTCATGCCTTGCTGAGCGTGCTTCTGAATTGCAGCAGTGTGGATCTGGGGCCCACCCTGAGTCGTATGAAGGACTTCACCAAAGGCTTCAGTCCAGAGGTATGCTGCATTGCCTTAAATCACGGCTCACAGCTGGCTGGGCACATCTGATCCTCAGAGCCGTTGTTAATGCTCCCACATGATATTTGGTACTGTTTGGTCTTCTCTTTTTCAAATGATAATTAACATCTATTTGATTCATAAAGAATGTGGAAGGTGGTTGATTTAGGCTTCGCTGTTTTAAGAAAGGAGATGATAGAAGTAGAGAAGGAAGAGACTTAAGTCACCGATGTCCGAACCTTTTCTCTTGTGACTTTTTGTAGCAGGCTGTGTTGCTCCCCAGTAGCCACTGATTACTGTGCAAAGCCAGCATGGCCCATCCCTTTGGGAGGTCCTGTGCTCTTCTTATCTGCCACCACTAGCCCTGTAGGAAAGTTTGAGGTTCCAGGAATGCCTCTAAGCCTGCTCCCTGGAACTCTGCTCTTACCCAGAGGCTCACCTAAGAATCTGTTCTTGCCCGGGCGGTGGTGGCGCATGCCTTTAATCCCAGTACTCAGGAGGCAGAGGCAGGCGGATCTCTGTAAGTTCGAGGCCAGCCTGGTCTACAGAGCGAGATCCAGGAAAGGTGCAAAGCTACACAGAGAAACCCTGTCTCGAAAAACCAAAAAAAAAAAAAAAAAAAAAAGAATCTGTTCTTACATAGTCTTATTTTCTTCTTAGAGCAAAGGATATGCAATTGGCAATGCTCCTGAGCTGGCCAAGGCACATAATAGCCATGCCAGGTAGGTGAGAGCTGTGGTTGCTGATATGGGATAAGGGTGGTGGAGGATGTCTCTGACTTTGTCCTTTTCCAGGCCAGAACCACGTCACCTTCCTGAGAAGCAGAATGGTCTCAGTGCAGTGCGGACCATGGAGGCATTCCACTTTGTCAGCTATGTACCTATCACAGGACGGCTCTTTGAGTTGGATGGCTTGAAAGTCTACCCTATTGATCATGGTAGGCTTCCTGTGGAAGGGGCCTGCTGGATTTGTCGTGCTTCCTTCTAGTTACCTGGGTCTCAGGGCCCTTAGGTTCTTGAGACTCAGTAGCACCAAGTTATGTGACCAGCGTGGACCTGGCTCAGCCACACTAATCTGTTTTCCTTCTTTTCCCTGGTCACCCCATCTCAGGGGTTCCCACCAGCTGACTCCTCATCTTGTTCTCCCCTAGGGCCCTGGGGAGAGGATGAGGAGTGGACAGATAAAGCTCGACGGGTCATCATGGAACGAATCGGCCTTGCTACTGCAGGGTAAGGACCCTCAGATTGCCCTGTGTCCTTCTGGAACTATGTCTCCTTTGGGCGGGAAAGAGAAGCTAGATGATCTGTAAATTGTAAGACCACATGGAGTATCTGGCAAGATCAGGCTTGGGTCTTGGGCTTCTAACTTCTTGCCTTCCTATCTGGGTTGCCTGTGGCCTGCTCTGGGCTAGGCTCAAGGAGGGGCAAGCCTTTGGGGAGCAGGGAGGCCTGGGTAGCACAGGTGTGCTGACTCACTTCCTGACAGGCCCCTCGTAGTTCATGGAAAGGTACAGCTCAGATTTCTGGGTGTGTGGCTGGCTGCTGCCTGCCTATTGGAGTGAGGCCTGTACCTACAACTACAAGATACTTGCCTCAATCAGGCAGTAGGGCTTGGGTGGGGATTGCTCTGATGGCTGTCACTGTGACTGCAGGGAACCATACCACGACATCCGCTTCAACCTGATGGCTGTGGTGCCTGACCGTAGGATCAAGTATGAGGCCAGGCTACATGTATTGAAGGTGAACCGACAAACAGTCCTGGAGGCCCTGCAGCAGGTAGGTGGGCCTCCTGCCTGGCCATGCCAACCCAACGACCCCCATCTCTCCTACACTGTAACATCTATCTCTAATTCCCAAATCACTGTCTTATAGATCCAGGTTTTAATTGACCATTTCTTTCCTTTGCTTCCTTTGTAAGGGTGGCAAAACTTAGGGTAGGAAGCTTCTAAAAAGCAGCTGTGGTTTGGCCTTTTTATTTTCCATTAAATAAATGAATGAGTAGGGTCAGGGCCCTTAGCTGTCTAACGTGGGAACCTGGTTCTACCCCTTCTCCTCTAAGCTTTGAGTTCTGTTTTAAGCTGATTAGAGTAACACAGCCGGAGCTGATTCAGACCCACAAATCTCAAGAGTCACAACTGCCTGAGGAGACCAAGCCAGCAAGCAGCAAGTCCCCCATCGGGCTGGAGGCAGGCAGGGCCCCAGCGGCCTCTGAGTGCACTCACACAGGTACTTGAGGCCTCAGCCATCTAGGATAGTTTGACATGGGAGGCCCAAGCACTTCTAGAAGGTACTTGGGCAGGGGTGCATGGGCTTGAGCAGGAGGTCTGAAATCCCAGTACCTGAAGCTTTCCTCTCGAAACACCAAGGGACAGTAGAGAGAGCTTTTCTTAAACGACATTTGTAAGGGACTACCATGACTCCTGTCCCTATATATTGCCCACCCCTCACCCACTTGTTATTTTCTCTATAGGCTGCCTTTCTTGTCCCCCCTCCCCCCCAACAACTGTAGGATTGGGGAGACTATAGGCTTTTCTTAAGGATCGAACTGAATGTCCTGTCTAAACTCTGCCTTGTCTCAGATGGTGCAGAGGAG